TCCTCAAACCTCCCTTCTTTTTATGCAAATCATTCTACGAGCAATCTACTTCTGACCAATCTCATTAGCATCAATGTTCTCAAACTTCTCCCTTTGGAAAATCTGATATTTTTGATCTTATTAAATTATTTATTTATTTATTTATTTAATAAGTGTTATATTTATTATTGAAATTTATGTATTTCTATTTATAAAAAATAATTATGCTCAGACAGGATTTTTAAAAAATACGAAACATAATATAATTTATGTTTTTCAAAAAATAAATTATTTGAAAAAATAAATAATATATTTAAATAATAAATATAATATACTTTTCATATTATGAAAAATTTGCATGTTTCGAAATCATAAATTGGTGTGACACATCTTTCGCTTTTTTTTAAAAAAAAAAAAACATTTGCCATACACACAAATTTATATTATTCGATAAATATTCTCAAAGACGACATAATTCATACTGGCCATTGTATATATATGTATTTTTTTATTTATAAAGAAGACAAGTTAATTTTATTTCGTCGTTATACGACACGCGAGATGTTCTTATAAAGAGTTTACGAAATATGATCTTTTTCCGTGTTAAAAATGGAAAGAAAAGAAATGAAAAAAGGAAAGAAAAGAAAAAAAAAATATTTCGAAGTCCTAAGTATGTGAATTTGCAATCAGCGCGTAAATCTCGAGCAGGTTTCTGCGCGCGCGATTATCGTCTTTGTATTCCGGGAACAGTGTGGACTTTAAGTTACGAGACAACGTTACCAGAATGTGTGATCTTGAAAATTCGTAACGGAACAACGAAACACGTGCTATTTTTGATAAAAAGAAAGAAGAAAGAAAAGAAATAGACGAAGAGAAATGTAAAGATATATACGGTATAATAATAATAAAGGAGGCTAATTGTGTTTTAGGTGAAAACACAATTGGAATTTCACATTGAATCGTGCATTGAAACTAGATTTGCAAAATATTTATTAGATGTTAAATTTAAGACAATGATTGTAAGACAAGAAGTAGGACATTAGGTAGAAGACATAAACAGTGTTAATTTGAAGATATTAAGCACAAGACATAGAAAGTATGACATTAGGCATAAGACGTGAGACATTAAGTATTAGACATGACATTAAACTTAAGACAAGACATAAGACGTAATACATATGTTTGGACCTAAGACATATGACCTAAGACATATGTCTGGATCTAAGACATATGACCTAAGATGTGTAATTTAAGACATTTCACCTAAGACATATGACTTAAGACATTTGACCTAAGACATAAAATTTAAGACATGTAATCTAAGACATTTGACCTAAGACATAAAATTTAAGACATTTAATCTAAGACATTTGACCTATGACATTTGTCTAGACCCAAGACATGTGACGTAAGATATATGACCTAAGATATTTAATCTAAGACATATGTCTAGACCTAAGACATTTGATCTAAGACATATACCTGGACCTGAGACATATGACCTAAGACATGAAGTAAGATATACGAATAAGACACACGATGTTTGTAGTAAAACCAAAGACATTCTCTGACTAAAAATAAAAATCACAAAATTAGAGACATTAAAAATCAAAATTATATGAATTTTTTGTTATAAATTATGAATTTTCGTGAAATTTACAATTAACCTCCTTTCAAGGAATTGAAGTGTAAAATTAATTTTTGTCACATGCGTCAAGAATCTGAATTTCTGAGACATTTGTGTTTATAGCGCTATATAGTATATGCTGTTCTGTCATTATATTCCATTACGGGTAATAATCCCATTATCGTTTCCAAACAGTCGCACGCAAAGAGACCACAAAAGAGATTTTTGAAGGGAGAGAGAGAGAGAGACGAATAGCGTTCGTAAAGGCGCGCACAGTGCGAGATTGTTCGGGATTATATTGCATCCAAGCCAAATGTAATTCCGCTTAACGACACTTACCATGTTTGCACACTGGTTGGATAATAAGAATTTTCAATGTGAATATGTATATATATATATATATATATGTATATATATAGGATCAGAAAAAAGAGATTTTGTTCCTGAGAAAATTATGTTTCAATTTTATGTAATATTTTTTTTCGACGGAATCAAAAGAAAATTTTTTATGGGAAAAAAATAATGAGAGAGAGAGAGAGAGAGAGAGAGAGAGAGAGAGAGAGAGAGAGAGAGAGAGAGAGAGAGAGAGAGAGAGAGAGAGAGAGAGAGAGAGAGAGAGAGAGAGAGAGAGAGAGAATACGCTTTGATTATTCATTTGGAAAATTTTCTTATATATTTCATATATAAATAAACTGCCAAAATTTGATTAGTTATTCATAAAGATTTTTTTTTTGGCCGTATATCTCATAATCTTGTCAATTTTCAAATTTCTTTTCATCAATTTCTTAAATTCCGGCCTCTGCCTTCATTTCTCCTTATATTCATTTTTTCCTCTTCTTCTGTTTGTCTCTCACTTGGATACTCTTCACTCTTCTTTGACTCTCTCTCTCTCTCTCTCTCTCTCTCTCTCTCTCACTCTCTTTCTCTCCCTTACTCTCACGGTTTGCGAGTCAGCGTATTTTAATAATTTTACCCAGTAGCTGATGCTTTTTTATTTTTCGCTCGCTATAAAATTCTGAGACGGGAGGAAATGAAAGCGTCATTTCGTTGGAGTGAAGCCGCTCTTTTTGAATGCATATATATATATATATATATATATATATATATATATATATATATAGATATAGAATGAATGCTAGGCGAGAATTTGAATCCTACGTGGAAACTAAATTTTGTTTTGCCCGATATCTTTTTTTTCGAAATCTATATGAAAAATAAGAAAATACATAGGGTAAATGTACTAATTACGGCGCGATTCGCATAAAAACATACCTTTGAAATAGAAAATTCGACATTTCTATTAAATAAAGTTAATTTAAAACTTATTAAATTAAAAGCTTATGTTATTTAAATATTAACAAAAATTTTAACTTTATAAAAATCGATTATTTAAAAAAATATGAGAAATTAAAACTGTAATACCGTAATTTTCTATTACGGAGCTTTTGTATCAGTTTTGGTGTATCAATTATGGTGATCAAAATTACGTGTATTTTGATGATACTTTGCCCACCTTTAATTGGAGCTAATCTTAAAAAAGTTTCAATTACGGCGAGGGAAAAAATTTGCTCTCAAATAATTAAATCAATAATTGATTAAATGTGCATCTTCATATATAAGTAATTGTATCAAAAAATGGTTAAAATAATTTTTTTAAATCATTTTGCAACCGTTTTTATAATAAATATAATAGTAATAATAGTTATTTTTTTATGAACGAGCCGTAATTGATGCACTCGCCGTAATTGGTACACTTGCCTAATTTTTTTATTTGATAAAAATGAAGGAAGTTATGATTTTTTTTAAATTTTACCTCATCAAAGGCAGTGTATTTTTGAAATATTTTTTTTTTTTAATCTATTGTACAAATAAATAAAAAATTATGTTATATATAAAATTTATTCTCTTTTTCTCAAATTTTTTTTTAAATATGTACTAAAAAATAATGTAATTATAACGGAAGCAACAAAAAAGTTGAAATTAAAGTTAACATTTTTTGATGCTTCCGTTAGAGTTACATTAGTTTTGAGTAGATATTTGAAAAATTTGAGAAAAAGAAAATAAATTTTATATACAACATAATTTTTTATTTATTGATACAATAGACAGTGTTTCAAAAGTACATTGCCTTTGATGATGTTAAATTTTAAAAAATCATAATCTATTTTCTAGATTTTGAAAAAAATGTTTCGTGAAAAAAACAATTTTAAATAAAAATTTTCCATGAAATGCCTCATATATATTATTAAAAATTAAATATTGAAGTATATATCAAGGTCAGTTATACAAAAGCACTCGCATCTAATAGTTTACTTTGATAGTTTGATAGTTTACTTGCAGGCACAGAAACGAAAGTTTATACTGCCACTGAAAATGTTGATTGGACATCCGTTAATTTTGTAGAAATACCAAATGTATGTATTAACATTATGAAGATATACGATAAATTCTCTATTTACATTATTATATATTCTTAATTGCAAAGAAATAGTAATTTAAAAAAGAGCAATTCAAAAATATTAATATTTCTTCACAGTTTTCTGAGGCTCTCAAATTGAGACCATAAACAGTATCAAAACGTTGTATTATCATCAATTTGATACACTTTACGATCTCAATTTGAGATACTCAAAAAACTGTGAATTGTGTACCGTCAATCGAGGTAATTATACCCATAAAATTGTTTTTCTTTTCCAAAAATCGTCATTAAAATTCAGAATTAAAAAAACAAAAATTTTTTCAACTATTGCATTATGTGCCAGTTCCTTGTGAAGAGTTCCAATAAGTTGGGTATAATTATACTCTAGTTCATAGAAAAAAATGTAATTTTAAATTTAGGAAATGCTTCTTGGCGTACATTTAAAAAAATGTTTCCCATGCATTTTATTCTTACAGTAAGAATATACCACTATTAAAATAAGAAAAAAATTTTAAAATTCAAAAAATAATTCTTGAATTAAGAAATAGTTTTCAAGTTAAGAAATATAGTTTTTAATTTATAAAGTCTTTCTGATTTTAAGATTATATTTTATTCGAACTTTAAAAATAAAATACATGCAAAATATTCTTAAATATGCGACAAAAAGATATTTTTCTCTCTAAATCTAAATTAGTAAAAAAGTTTACTAATTTGAATTAGTGACTCACTTTTTGCTTTTGAATTAGTAAAATTTTACTAATTATTTACTTTTACTAAAAATTAGTAAAATTTAACTAATTCTAAAGCAAAAAGTAAAAAGTATTAAAAAGTATTTAAATTAGTAAACATTTTTACTAATTTAGATTTTGAGAGTTCATTTTGAGTTTTCTTTTTTTTTACATTTTAAAAATCTATATATTTAAAAACAATTAGAAATTTTTTTTAAAAAATGCAATAAAACTATTATGATTATAGGTTATGCAAAATATCAACTATCAATTTTTTCCTGATGAAGAAACTGGTTCATCTGTTACACACTTTAAGAATAAACGTGGAATATCTGAATTTGTAAGTATAAACTTATTTTATATTGTGGGATAAATTTTTTCATATTAAATGCTTACAATATTTTAAATTCTAAATGAAATTTTAATTTTTAACAGCATGGAATCATTGACAACAATTATGTGATTGAACCATTGTCCAATCATCTTCGTAAACGTCGTGATTTGTTGAAAAAAAATAATGCAACCTTTGAAAGTGATGCCGAAGGTTTCATAAATACTGATGAACATGTAATTTATAAACATAAAATTAATAATGCTTCCAGTAAGTATTTTATTTAAATATTAAACAAATAAACTAAAATTGGATGTGTTTAAATATAAAGAATTAAAGTAATAGTAAATAATAATTTTTAATCCTTTAAAGTTAGGTAAAAAGTAAAATCTTCAGTTTTTAACATTATTCGATAGCAGAGCTATTTTTATCCGAAACTATAAATTTTATTAAAAAATTATAATTAATAAAGTTAACAATACAATAGTATTATTTATAATTTACGTCTAATTTTTTTTAGAACTTCAAGCACCTAAGCTGATGGAAGATGAATTTATGAAAATTAAAAGTGTGTCCCGAAGAGAAGTTGAAGAAACTCCAAAAATAGTATATCCGGAAATTATAGTTTACGTTGATGATGTAATTTTTATGTAAGTTACAATAACTTTATTCTATTTACTTTGTTCCTGCTTATAAAAATTGCTATTTTATTAAATATAAATTACTTTATTTCACTTTAATATTCTAGACAATTATTAAATAATTTTTAATTCTAATTACAGGAGATTTGAGAAAGACGTGATGAAAACAGTACTATATACTTTGAGTTTCTGGAATGGAGTTGATTTATTATACAGACAATTTGAAGATCCAAAAATTCGTCTCTATATTAAAAACATAGTAATAATTAAAGTAAGTTAAATACATTGAAAAATAATATTTATTTAAATCAATTACACGAATATTTATTTTTAATATAATTAATATATTCATTTGAATTAAATGGTATATTTGTTTTAAATACCAAAATTATTACAATTTAATTGCTTGAAATAGAAAATATTTGATTGAAATATTGTAGTGGAAATTTTTTCTATAATTAATTGAAATTATTTTTGTATTAAAGGATATACTAGAATTCGCTTTTGAAGCAAATGACTATTTGTCCACAACTTCTGTAAGAAGACCCGACACTTTAACAAAATTTTCTTCATTTTTATATGAGAATCAATTTTTTCGACCAATTAGAGATTATGATATAGCTATGTTGATGACTGAACAGACTTTAATAAAATTAAACACCAGTCGGGAATCAACTGGTAAGTTTAAATCACATATTTTTCTTTTGCATTACTTGTAAATTAAATTGTAAACTACAATAATGATTTCTTAAAGGTATGTCATATAATGCTGGAGTGTGCAAGAATCAGTCTAATAAATACGTTGGTTCCGCTGTAATTAAAAATAACAATTTTTATGGAGGAATTATTAATGCTGCTCAAAAATTGGCTCATATGTAAGTATCGCAAACTATGTTTACTTATTTTTTACTAATATACAGGGTAAAATATTTTTTATTAATTTATAAAATTTAATATATATATATATATATATATATATATTAGTTTAAAAAAATAATGTATGTAAACATTTTTTCATTAGCTTTGGTGCAAATAATGAAGAGAAAGATTGTCCTAAGAAAGACGGCTACATCATGAGTTCTAATCGTTCTGATAAAAACAAACTTTTATTTTCCTCATGTTCGAAAGAAGCTATTCGTAATGTTTTAAGGTACGTGTAAAATTTAGAACATTTACACTTTGTATAAAGAACATTTAACTATATGGTAATATCTGGAGTTGATAAATTTCAGTTACCATAAATATTAATTGTTTAATTCTAAGATTTAGTAAAACGTTAGTTTCTCTTCTGTTCTTATTTTTTTTTATTGTTAGTACTGGAAATATGGAAAAAATAATTGAATATTTTGAAATTTTCATCATCATTAGTTTTTTGAATATTTTTTTTTGTATAAATTAATAAATTTTATTTTTCATTAGTCAAGATTTTGCAAAATGCGTTCAGAATAATCCTGCAGAATATGAAAATAATAATCAAGTACCAAGAATGTTACCTGGTGAATTTATTACTTTAGACGAGCAATGCTTAAACCGAGGATACTATCAGAATGTTAAAGTAAGTTCTTTTAACATTAACATATAGCACTTAGTACTGTCGTTATCATTGGCTATATTTTGTTATTACTATTGTTCATTTTTAGAGTAAAACAACTTGTTTAGAGCTACACTGTGTCATGGACTTCGATTGGAATGATAAGCTTTATCGTTTCGAGTATAATATTCCTACAGATCGTATCCCACCTGCGGAGGGATCTTATTGTGGTGAAGGAAGGGTAATTAAAATTATGTGTTAATTTGTTCTGTAAAATATCATAAATCAAATTCAATGATTCTCAATATTTGCATCAGTATATATATATATATATATATATATATTAATTGATTGTTTATAATTTTATTATTCAGTACTGCATAGCAGGAGAGTGTGTACAGAAACCTAACAATTTGAGACGAATTTCAAATCCTCAATTGTTTCGCAAGTCAACCACTGAAACAGCATCGACCATTACAGTGGCCTAAGCTCAAACCTCGAGTGAGCGGTGTTCTAGGGCATAATGACTTTTTTTAAAATTTTTAACTGTATTTAGTGGAGGTTTTCCGTAGTTTTCCTCTACTCTGATTAAGAAAAAATCAGGCAAATGCGATTACTTCTAATAAAAGTCGGCTACGGACAGCAATTTGTAGACTATATAATTCAATTTAATTCAATTAAAAATGTTAATACCCGTGTGGAAAAAGCCACGATCTTGCCCTCAAGAGTTCGGGGCCCCCGGCGGGGGCCCATGAGGGCTGATCCATATGGCGAATCCATGAGGGGCACCGTAGGGGCCCCGCATGGATCGCCCTCATGATCGATTAGCAAAATTTTCTAAGTCCAAAAATCAAATATTTTTTTATCACCAAAAAATTAATGTTTATAATGATTCACAACAATGAAAAACGCGTTTTTAATTAAAATATATTTTCACTTTTTTTGAAAATAACACTCACACTTATGGCGAATCCATGAGGGGCACCGTAGGGGCCCCGCATGGATCGCCCTCATGATCGATTAGCAAAATTTTCTAAGTCCAAAATTCAAATATTTTTTTATCACCAAAAAATTAATGTTTATAATGATTCAGAACCACGAAAAACGCGTTTTTAATAAAAATATATTTACACTTTTTTGAAAATAACACTCACACTTATGGCAAAATAGATGAGGGCCACCGTAGGGGCCCGCATGGATCGCCCTCATGATCGATTAGCAAAATTTTCTAAGTCCAAAAATCAAATATTTTTTTATCAACAAAAAATGAATGTTTCCAATGATTCAAAACAACGAAAAACGCGTTTTTAATAAAAATATATTTACACTTTTTTGAAAATTCGCCTGAGATGATTCATGATAATAATCATAAAGCATATAATTAATTATATTTTATAAATTGCATTTGATTGGAAAATATAATTTAATATCTTAACTTTAACTAAATGATGTTAAGCACTTTTCTTTGTTAGGTATTTTTCAAGTTTAAATAGCATCAAGAAGTTAGCATTCGTTTTGAAGTAGCGTGCGTAGCGTAGTTGGTAAAGCGTTAGACTCATAGTCCGTAGGTCGTAGGTTCGATTCCCCCCATGCGTTAGATTTATTTATTTCTCAGGTTTGCGTTTAATCATTAATTCTATGTATGAATTAATTGAAAAATGAAAATATCGGTTAATAGTATGCATAAATTACATATTTTTTAATTTTTTAATTAATTAATTTATTATTACTTTTAATTATATCCGACAGTTAATTAATTAGAACGTTAATTAATAAATTCAATTTGAGTAAGAATTTAATTTAAAATTGAATAATTATTAAATAAATATGTTATTTATTCATAACTTAAGCTTATTTATTATCAATTAACTTTTATTATTAATATTATTGATTAAAAAACATTATGGCAAACTTGAGGGCAAGATGAGGGCAAACGTGAGGGCCCATAAGGGCGCCCGTAGGGGCACCCTCATGGATCGCCCATGCGGGCGCCCTCATCGATGAGCATGTCGTTTCCATGAGGGGCCCCTATGGATCATCCATATGCGCCCCTCATGGCATGAGGGCGATCCATAAGGGCCCCCGCTGGGGGCCCACATCACTTTTCCACACGGGTATTTAAAATTTTTTATAATTTTTGATGAATATACCTAATAAATGTATTCTAAAAGAAAATATTGTTTATTAAGAAATATTTATTTTTCTCTCTCTTTTTTTTTGATTATCCTTTTAAATTGCGACATCTTATTTGTCTAATTTTGATCTAATTCTTATATAAATTTCTAATTGCTTAAAATCTGTGATTTCTAGTTCTTGTTAATCAATTTTAAATCTTTATTATTTGTGATTTTTAATTCGATTTAATTCTACCTCATTCGTAATTCTTTCGAATTTGTGATTACTAATTCGACATAATTCCTTCTAATTCCTTTTAATTTGTGAATTCTAATTTCTCTTAATTCTTCCTAATTTACAATTTTTAATTTCATCTTAATTGTTTCTAATTAATAATTATTTGATATTTTTAATTTCTCTTAATTCCTAATTCTTTTTTCATTTGTAAATTTCAATTTGTATTGATTCCTTTAAATTTCCTTGTTTCCAAATTCTCTTTGTTCTAAATTTAGATGATCTAATTTCTAATTCCATCTAATTTGTGAATTACAGTCACTTTTAATTTCTCCTAATTCCTAATTCTCTTTAATTTTTAATTTCCAATTCGTCTTAATTCCTTTTAATTCCTAATTCTTTCACATATGTGATATCTAATACCTCTTAATTCCTCTTAATTTGTGATTTGTAATACATACTTGTGAATTCTAATTCCTAATTTTTTGTGATTATACTTATTCTTCCTTAGTTACTCCTAATGCCTGATTCTTTCTAATCTGTGATTTCTAATTCGTCTTAATTCATCCTAATTCTTTATAATTGTTATTTTTAATTCAATTTAATTCCATTTAATTCTTAATTCTTTTTAAATTGTATTACTAATCATTCTAATTCTTTTAAATTTGTAATCTATAATTCATCCTAATTCCTCTAAATCTTTCTTATTTGTGTTTTTTAAACCCATTCAATTCGTCTTAATTTCTTCTAATTCTTTCTAATCTGTGATTTATAATTCGTATTAATTCATGCTAATTCTTTTTTTATTTAAGATATCGACTTCGTCTAAATTCGTACTAATTCCTAATTCTTTATTATCTGTGATTACTAATTCAAGTTAATTCCTTCTAATTCCTTTTGATTCCTTTTAATTTTTTCTAATTTGTGAATATTAATTCGACTTAATTCCTTCTAATTTGTGAATTCTAATTCCTCTTAATTCTTTCTAATTTTTTATTTACAATTCGTTAATATTTCTCTAATTCTTTTTAATTTCTGATACAATAATGGATACTTAAAGTTTTTTTCTCACTCATAAATCAAGCAAATAAACGATTTTTTTTAATAACGTAGAGAAAAATTTTTTATGTTCATATGCAGTTATTTATTTTATTTAAAAAATCAATGGACATTAAAAAAAGGTCTCGTGCGTAAAATTTACTGTCGAATAACTTAAATTATTTTTAAATGTAGAATCAACAGTTTCTTTTTTTATTTTTTTATTATTTTTTTTTTTTTTGTAAATGTTCAGTTATTTTTTGTGAACTTGCATACTCATACACATATATATATACAGTTGACTTGACTCACTTTAAAGACCTTGAAGTCACCTTAAGTTCAGAGATCATCGAGTTGTGGCGATTAAGCTGCGAAACAAAATTGCTGTTAAATTCGCTTGGATTAATTGCTAGTGTGTTGTTGAAAAATGACGTTAGCTGAGGCTTGCACCGGCGGTTGAATCGAGATGCAAAGAGAGTGCCGCGCGCGCGGCTAAAATGAAGGCACGCGAAAGTCGAACGAGGGGCACGGCAGCGGCGGCAGTCTTTTTTCTTTTTCTGATGGCAATTTCTCGCGTTGGAAGCAATAATCGTGTCTTCGTATATATATATATATATATATAGGGACTGGTTTGACAGTGTGGTTGACCGCCACTCATGAGAAATCTGCCTGTCATCGTACTCGAAAATTTCGCTTAAACATTCACGTGGACGCTAATTTGTTTTCTCTCTTTCCTCTCTCTCTCTTTTACTCTTTCACTCACTCATTTGTATTACAACCACAATAATATTTACCAAAAAGAACTTCTGTAAATTTCACACAAAAATTCTTTAACAACCTCTTATTGTCAATTAGCATGTGATTTAATTAATTTCACTGAATAAAAATAATATAATTATTATTTATCAAATTTTTTTTTTTAAAGTGATTGTAAAAAGTGTCAATTTTACAATCATTTGAATGAAAATTAAAAAAAAAAATTTGAATTTTTAATTCACAAATGACGCCGCAGAAATTGGAATATTCTACTAATTTTCATCCATGCAAAACAAGAAATCACAAATTAGAACAATTATAGAAATTAGAAGGAATTAAAAATCACAAATTACAAAGAATTAGAAAGAATTAAGCGGAATTAGAAATCACAAATTAGAAAAATTATAGGTATTAAAAGGAATTAAAAATCACAAATTAGAAAGAATTAGGAAGAATTAAGCAGAATTAGAAATCACAAATTAGAAGGAATTAAGTCGAATTAGTAATCACAAATTAGAAAGAATTAAAAATTAGGTGGAATTAAATTGAATTAGAAATCACAAATTTAGAAAAAATAGGAATTAAAAAAAATTGAAAATCACAATTTAGAACGAATAAGGAGGAATTAAGAGGAATCGAAAATCACAAATTAGAAGTTATTAGAAATTAGACGTAAATTAAATTATAAGAAATATATGATATCTGTTTTAAAAAAAAATCAAAATGGCGAATCCAATATGTCTGACAAAGAAAAATCAATTTGATTTTTACTTAAAAATTTGTTACTTTCGAAAATAAAAATTAATGAATCAGTGTTGATTATAATGAAAGTAGAAAATTTGTGGCTATACAGGAGTTGTTAGGGTATAGAGGTTATGGTAGTAAAGTAATGAGATTTTTTTGGAGGAAGACCCTTTTCTCTCTCAGACATATAGTAACGAAAGTATATATATATATATATGGGTCATTCCATACGAAAAGGCAAATGGCTGCGTCCACTAGCAGTTTGAACCAATCGCAATGTTATAGTAGTCAAATTTTAGCATTTTTTATATAGAATCGAAAGCCGAGTGGCCTTTTTTTTTATTTTCAAAATGGCGGCCACCCCAATGGCATATGTAAAAAAATTACGCGATGGTTTTTTTTTAATCCTTCAATACTTTTAAGATTTTAGTTTAAAATTGCTCAAAACATATTATATTTATGTTCTAGAGCTCGCCAAAGATAAATCCATAGTCAGAATTAAAAAATTCAAAATGGCGGATTCAAAATGGCGGATCATTTTTTTAAAATCATCGAAATCGCTTGAAACTTGTTACTCGGGGGTTTTCGGGGTCGCTGATGA